TTTTTTGGTTGTAACCACGGTTAATTTTCGTAAGGGATATTTTCATGTTATTTTATATCTGTTTATTTTACGGCATGTATTTGTGAAAATGATTAGGCTATACTTAGCACACACCACATAGAATAACGCTGCGCATTTCAAGGTGCTTCAGTGGACCTTAAAGGTCCCATGGCATGAAAATTTCACTTTATGAGGTTTTTTAACATTAATATGAGTTCCCCTAGCTTGTCTATGGTCCCCCAGTGGCACCTGTTTTGTCAATGTTAAAGTTCTTTTTAATATATCAATAAAAAAGTACGACAGGCTTTTACTCAAGTCTTTATCACTTTATTAAAATTAAGCAAAACAAAACGACAAATGTTTACTTTCACAAGCCGTCAAGTATAGGCTTGTAGTAAGCTGTCTCTTGCCTATAGACTCAATCAGGTAACAAAAATGTCGGGAAACGACACCTCTGGCCATTCCGTTGGGTCGTTTGTCCAGTCACAGGTACCGTACGGATAGCCCGACCCAATATGGCTTAGTTTTTCTACGTATGTTGCTCTGTCGAACGGCAGAAATGATTTTATGTAGGCCATTCTGAGTCAACACCATGCTTTTCCAATGAGGGGGAAAGGATTGTTTTCCCCCACGCCGACTCCGCCCACACAGCTATGATGCGACACCGATCAAGTCTATTGGGTCATTTTTACCCAGGCGCTGGGTCATTTTAATGCTGGGTTATTTTTTTCTACCCAACCGCTGGGTTGACCCTGTCTCCGGTGAAACTTCTCAACAATGCAGCTGCTGAGAGCACGGGTTTTTTAAGTCCACAGAGCGGTTCTCAGCGCCGCCGCCGATTTGGTGCACTCTTTCGGTGAAATAAAGGTTTGTATACATTTTATTTCATTTATAAAAAGTCTTTAATGTGGTGTAAATTACATTATTTTACGCAACGCAACATAAGGACGAGATGTCAGTCAGCTGCATCAGCAGCGGTCGTTTCGCGCTGGAAACACTTTTGCCTTGCATAACCAGTGGCGGCTCGTGGGTTTTAAAATAGAGGAGGCACACTTGCATTGGTCCGGGATCCCTGCCGATTATTATTAACCACTTTGAAATGGCTTTTTTGGTTGCTTTTAGTCAGAAAACGTAAAGAAAATGACACACATACAGCAAGATAATATAACTTCACTTACCTGGCCTATCACTTGAAGCAAACATCCATCCCTTCTTAAAAGTCTGTTAAAAGAGTGCTGCCTGTTGTGCTATTTAATTATGCCGACTGCTGTAGTCTATATCCAGTTAGGCGTGTTTTCCCCTTTTTTTAAATTTGTATTTATACTGTTTGAATGACAGCTTGGTAAATCTGTTGGCGATCAAATATTATTATTTTTTTTTACCAACGGAGGCACGAGAGCTCTCCCCCGGCCTCCCCCTCCCCTCCTCTATCGCGTAGCGGTTGTAGTTACATCAGCAGATTCGGAACATTCGCGATAGAAAAGCGGCACTTTTCAACTTCATTAACATGTTATGGTATTACAGCTGTGAAATTACAAACAAAAAATACACATTCTGAGACTTCCCAGGTGGTTCCCATGTTTAATTTCAACCAGTGTGACAGTTTGGAAGCCATGTTCCTTAACTACGTCTTTCCCTATACCTACCAGGAATTTTAGATTTACTAAGAACACAGGTACAGGTAGGAAACAAGATAAGTATAACTGTTCGGTGGAGCAAACACACCATGGCTGCTTCTCACACTCTAAAAAATGCTGGGTTAAAAACAACTGACATCTCGTCCTTATGTTGTGTTGTGTAAAATAATATAATTTACACCACATTAAAGACTTTATAAATGAAATAAAATGTATACAAACCTTTATTTCCCCGAAAGAGTGCACCAAATCGGAGGCTGTTCTGTGGACTTAAAAAGCCTGTGCTCAGCTGCATTGTTGAGAAGTTTCACCGGAGACAGGGTCAACCCAGCGGTTAGGTAGAAAACCTAGCACCTGGGTAAAAATATTAAAAACAACCCAATACAATGACCCAACTGGCTGAACCCATCATTTGGGTTAAAAAAATAACACAGCATTTTTTAGAGTGCACATAAACAACAAAAAAGCTACTTCCCTTTTGGCTTCAAAATAACTAAAGGGGGACAACTTCTATGAACACACAGCTGGAGATATTACAGGAATAAACAAATGAGAATCCAACTGTTTCATTTCTACTTTGATGGTCATTGCACCTTCCTTTGATGTTTCCCTTCAATGCTCATCATTCACAATCCATTTAATCTGAGGTGTGCACCACTGAGCCATTCAAAATATGAACAGAAATGTGTATTAAAGGGACAAATATGTCATATATGCATATATGCAATATATGCCAAATATGCAAAATTAAGGCCAAATAGAAGCTGGGGGCACTAAGGTCATCGCAATGAAACATCTTCAAAAATATAACAAACGTTTAATTTTTCTGACAGTGAAATTCAGAAGGATGGATACCAGGGGAAGGCCTCCATACATATCTTTGTCCACACATCAAACAATGAGCAAAATTTATACACACACTGAGAGGTATTTTCTTCCTTGCATTTAATGACTGACTTTAGCTCTGCACAGTTTCACAAACACGGGTAGAAAAAACCCTGACATTATGAGTGAATGTATAAATTTTGGATGGTGTGAATGGACTGCAAAAATAATGGGGGGGGGGGCTAATAACAGCTCTCAGACTGATTAAAACATAATTACTGTTATTTTCCCTCTCCCACCATCCACAGAACCAACTGTCTGAACCCTGGGCAAAGGAAAACAAGTTGTTTATACAGCACAGTTTGTGAAGGTAACAGTTTGCAGTCTGTTACTATGGGCTGAAAGGGTTTGTCGGGTCAGACTCCTGTTGTGACCTCCACTGTCTGCAATTATCTTTCTATTCCCTTCTCCTTACACTCACCCTTGGTCTTCCTTCTCCCTCTCACTGGTCTTGTTTTGCTTTCTCATAAATAATTCTCCCCTTTCCCTGTCTTCTTCACTTTCATCACATTTTAGTGTTAACCTTCAAATATATGCTACACAGAGACAATAAGATGACAAGTCTCTCAGCATAAGCTGCATCAGGTTTGTAATCCACTGTTTACAAGAAAATGCGAAACTACTTTGTCTTTCTAAACTGGAGAATTAAGCTTTTGTCAATGATAAAGTGAATTGGAAAGTTCTGGAGTGAACAATAGACTGCTAACAACTCAGGTAGTTTGTCATAAGTGGAAAATGACTGTCAGATGCACTGTCAAGGGCCCTGTCTAAAGTGATGACAAATAGACTGAGAATGGGAAATCATTAAGAGAAGATTTATGTTGCCCTAGTCAGGTTAGTTTTGGCTGTGAGGAATATATTTAATCATAACCTATGTCAAGGCTTGATCATGATCTAGTTAATAAACCAGCACATTAGACCGTAGTTTGATGTTAGGAGGTATGAATGAAAACTGTCTTAAGACAGATTAAGAATCATTAGCACTAGAGCTGGTAGTAAGGATGTTTCCTCCATTATGTTTAGCTAATTAAGCAAATTTTAAGGATGTTTTTTTTAAGAGTTTAATGGAGGTACTCTTTTCACTTACTCAAGTGAATTTATGATGACAAAATGAATCCTTGGCCTCACACACTGAATACTGCTTTTCTTTTTTGGCCTTCTTTGCAAAAAAACAAAACAAAAAACAACAAACAAACAAACACACACACACACACACACACACACAATAAAAACCAACCAACCTCAGAGTCACAGACATTCCTTCTTGAAGGAAAGACTAAACATTCAAATGTCTTGATTTGATTCTGAGACTGGCGTATTGGATTCATTAAATTATTGAAATTATGAAATCATTAGGATGAAGTCAGAGATTTACTGTACATATTATTTGAACATATTTTCCATGTGCAAGAAGATACATAAAATATTTCATACAAAAATATATTCCAGTATAATTTTATATTAAAATAATACCTATTATTATATTACTTCTATCTGAATAATATTTTTTACTAGTACTTTTACGTAGTCTTTAGAGTAGAGTTTTACCACTGTATCACCATTCATTCAAGTTTTAATACTGTCTGTCCTACTCATTACCTAGAGTTGGGGTCCGGTCTCGAGTACAGTTTTTTAAAGGACTCGGACTTGTCACGGACTCGGATGCATTTTTACTCGGACTTGACTCGGACTCGAGCTTTTTGGACTCAGAAAATATGTCAGAGTCCAACCGAGTCCAGGGACAGTTGACGGAAATGTCACTGACTCAATGCATTATCACGAAAGTGATATTCAGTATTTGCATGTGTTTTTATGTCTTGTCCAGTACTTGAAAGCCGATGGGTTTCTGTGCACACACCGAAAGCGTGCTGACAGAATAACGCGCCTCTCAGTCAGCATGCAAATGCCGAATTCTTTCGCTTAAGTTCTCTTAAGTTCTGTTATTGCTACACACTTACACGAAAAGTTATGTCAAAATGCCCGCCTTGGAGACTATTCATGTAAATGCAGTCGGTTTTGTCTTAAGTGAACTTGAACAGTTGGGAGAAATACAGATGTGTCAACAGCGTAAAACCTGCAGCCGCCGACTGCGTCATAAATGTTAATCAAACAAAAGAAAAGGAGAAAGTCACTCACACTGAATCACTTATTAACTTTAATAAGAATCATCTATATTTAATGTATACAGTGAAGATTATTTTTACATTTATTACTTCATGAAATGTCTGTAGTAGGCTATTTCTAGAGGCCTTTACTATAGGCTATCTGAAAAACTAAAAAAAAAACCTTTAATTTGTATTTTTGAGTAATATATTTATTTATCATTTAGCTTGTAAGTAATACTTGGAGTGTTTACTTGCCTTCAGTAAGCTTGAGAATGTTTTATTACATTAGTTTATTATTTTTTGCTTTTGTATTAGTGGCAGTTTCTAGCTTCAAAGAAAAATCATTTTTCTAACATCTTTGCGGCAATAGTTTTTATGGGGCCAAAATCACCTTCGGTGTGCATTATTTTCTAATAATTCAACGGCCCGTCATCAATTATTCCTTACATAATGTAATTTATTGCAATTAATGCAACTATAAATGCATTCAAAAATAAAACAGGTGTGAGTTGCCTGTGACTTATGGAAAATATATGTAGGGCTTTTATACACAGTGTGTGTTATTGTACAGACTAGGTTTATCCCTCACAGCCTCATTTTCATCCAAGAAAAAATTCAAAATGCCCTGTCTAAGGGGTACGTTTACATTGGCATCCATTCATTTTTTGTTTGTTTTTTTTTTAACCCAGAAATTAAAATGCAGTTTCTTCTTTAATGGTTCAAACACTGACACAAACTAATTTTGATTATTCAAAATTCATATTTCATAAAAAATCGTAAAAATGATATAAAGCTTGTTTTTTATTTCGATAAAAGGTGCATTTTCTGCTCTTAAGGTCCCATTCACCTACTCTTTTACCCCCACTCTTGAATTTATACACTTACTTTAATGATGAATAAAGTCAAGTCCCGCCCTTTCATTTTTCACATTCTAAAATCTGTTTCACTCTGAAATATGTCACAATACATAAATCAATTCAGCCATAACTTCTCTGACATGACTTTAAGTTTGCTAAGCAAAGCAGGACACTAATTATTAATCAAAAATCTAAATGGCAAGATGCAATAGTGTTTGCTTTTGTTACATTTAAATGGACATTGCGTTTAGTTGTAAAGGTGAGTTGAGTCCGACTCGGCCCATTTTGGACTCGGACTTATCTCGGACTCGATTGGTTAAAGACTCGGACTCGACTTGGACTCGACTTAGCTGGACTCGAACCCAACACTATCATTACCCACGTCTAACTGGCAAATTGTGATTTAATGCTAGAACTATAACACGTAAAGAATTAAGGTAGAGTGACTGTACATTAACATCTGTAATGAAATATACTTAAAATCACATTTTGAAGTACTTATGTTAGTGCTATGACCTTGATACCATTATATCCTTTCAGAGGAAGAAAAAGAGAGCTACACAGTGCTAAGTAAAGGGCCATTCACACAAAGTGCATTCTTGCATTTAAAAAGCTAGACGGAGCAGAACAGAACAAACCGTAGGTGTTTCAAAATGCACTTTTAAAAGCGGAACTGTTTTTAACAGAACAGTCTTGTCACGTTAATGCATCTTTAAATCTTGCTTCAAAGATAATTACAGCAACAATACAAATCACATTTTTTGTGACTTGTATTTCTTTCTACCGTCTGCTGTTTACCTATTATTTATAGTCACCTTCATTCCAGACCATTAGTCATTACATTCTCTGTGAACACCGCAGGTATCATGAAGGTCACAGGCTCGGAGGTGCACCTTTAATTTAACGGAGCTGAGTGCTCACGAAGAACCAGCTCACTCACAGACCCTTTCAGGTTCATTTCAAGTTAGTTTTGATTTAGATGTGTCTGAAAGTGATGTGTATTGGTGAGTGAGTTGTTCACTGTGTTATCTGTCCATCCATTTCCACCAGGGTGACCTTTTTTGCAAACAGATAGGTGGGTATTAACAGCCAATCACAGCAACGTGGACAGCAATTCACAGAAAACTCAAGGAGAACACAACAAGAGATGCTGCCTCCCTTTGATTTTATTCCCACTGGCAAACTTGTGTCGCATGAGTCAATGCATAGTGGTCATTAAATATGTAAAAGCTTAAGGTCTCTGCTGACAAAATTTTTTAAAAGTAACCCTTAAATTAGTTTTGATACTCTGTTTATCCTCTCGAGGCAACGCACATCTCTATATTTCAATTACAAGTAAGCTTTCTTTACAACATGCTGACTCCTTATCTGAAACAAAATGAGAAGAGTTAGTTTTGGCAGCAGCATCAATCCATTGATCTCAAAGGAAATGGAATCCTTGCTGTGGTGTGCAACACCCTTGTAATGTGTCTAGGGATATGCCGGTATCAAATTTTCATGTTGCGATTAATTGCTAATGCTTTTATCACGGTATTCGGTATTATCACGATATTGAAATTAAGTAAAACAAAAGTGCTGTCATAATACATTATAACAGGTTTAATAAAATTTTTCTTATAACAAAAATAACTGAACATATGTGTCTTTCATGTGGTTGCTAGCTCAGACTCTTGTCTGTTGGGGAGCAAGTGTCCCTTGTTTCTGCTTTACATTATACACACACTAACACATCTTTCACTTTCGCATTCTTAATCTTTTGTCACAGTCAAAATTTTTTATCTAAAGCAGTTTATCTCTTGGTATAACTGTGTGATATTAATGATCTGAACAGCGTGCGGAACATTGACAGTATTAAACTGATCAGAATTGCGAACACGATGCAACGTGAAAGCTTAACTAACTCAGTTATTTTATTGTATGGCCACCTCTGATAACAATTTTAACTGTGTGTAAGTTTACATTAGATTCTATTTTACAAGTCCACATTCAATGTTTAATGTTGCTGTCCAACAAAATGCAGTCAAGAAGAGCCACTGACAGCAGCATGAACCAGGAACAGTGTCTTGAATTGAATTCTAGCAAATTCCAGCTGAAAGCGAAGCCATGTTATGTCCCTACAATGCAAAGCACACAGTAATGTGTTTTGTTAGATTTATGCCAAACACAATTATTAAGCGCAAAGGGAAAAGGTTCAGATTTGAACTTGAAAAGGCATGCAAAATTCCTGCAGAATGATTTAACTATTAACTACTAATGTGGCCAGGCCCTTGCACAATAAACCAGAAAATTTACGAGATCATATTTTCATAATCCTTTAAAGGAGATAAAGTTAAACATATTTGGAATGCTATCTATGCAGGGCTCAAGCATGAGACTTGACTTGAGATCTAAATTCTCCCCTTGGAGCACTTAATACAGATTACACAATGTTCAATATATAAAGAGAGAGGACAGAAATAGAGGAGGAGGTAGGAAGGAGGGAGGGACGCTGAAGAATTGTCAGAGGACTGAGGTAAGCAAAGCATTTATTTATATACTCTTGTTTTATGATTTATGATATATGATAAGAAGTATATGAATACTCCATATACTATCTAGGCATTTATAAAATGAACAGCTCAGAATCTCGGTTCAATACAAGTTAACCTCTATCAACAGCATTTGTGACAGGCTGTAAATTATCATAGAAAATCATTTTGACAGATCTCACAGTTTGTTAAAAACAAACAAAAATTACATTTACAGTAATGCACTTACAATGGTAGCAAAGGGCAAAGCATTTCAGAGGGTTTAAAAGCAGACACATGAAGCTGATATTTGCTGATATTCTGCACTTGTATTAATGCTGCTGTACAAACATCAGTGTCATTTGAACTGTAAAGTTAAAATCATGCTTTTAGTGCTGGGACTATTTATATGGCAAATTTGAAGGATTAATTATTACTTTGCACAAACAAACCACATTGGTAAATGATTTTATCACGATCTATGAAATTCGTTAGATATTTATTGTACATTAAACACATTTTTAGTTTTTACAAAGTGAAGGACAAAATAAAATGATTTTCTGTGGCCTAGCCATTTACAAATTATACTGTATAACAAATTATTTGACAATGGACAATACACTTTTTTCAGCGAATTTTAAACATTACTGAAATGTGTTCATTTAATTATTGAAATATGTCTTCATTTTATTCCAGCATTAAACTATATCAGTCTACTACTAAATATGACTGTACCACAGGCTCTTGTGCCCTTTATTGCAATCAGATACCAGCAGATTTATTATCCTTGGAGTCACATCCCTTTTTTTTTAAAATCCAGTCGACAAATTCAAAGCTGAATGGACGGCAGAACAGGGCAAAGAAAAGTCGGTAACACTCAAGTATAGGGACCAATTTTCACTATTAACTAGTTGCTATTAGCATGCCTATTATTAACATATTGTTTATTAGTACTTATAAAGCACATATTGTGCATGACCATATTTTACATCTCGAATCCTACCCAATACCTAAACCTAACAACTACCTTACTAACTATTAATAAGCAGCATTTTAGGAGTTTTTTTCAGGCAAAATCATAGTTAATAGTTTGTTAATACTGAGAACTGGACCTTAAAATGAAGTGTGACGGAAAAGTCAAATTACAACAAGTATATTTGTCACCAACTACTCAGGTGAATGAAAAGAGAAAAGAGGCATGCCACAATCAAAGGAGAGGTCTTAATCTAACTTGATCAACTCATCCCGTCACTGAAAACTAGTCTGAAAACTAATCTGATGCTTCTAATAGGATTGATGAAAATTTACTGACCTATCCTACAACATAATCTCTTAAAATTACAAGATGAAGCACAATAGTAACTGCAGAGTCACAACTCTGATGAATGGAAAAGTCAGGGTCTTGAGCGTGAGAAGCTGAAAAAGCTGCGACATGTGACACAATAGTCAAAGACATATTCATACATGATTTACCAGTAAAATCTATATATACTGTATGAAAGGTGCTATAGCTTTACATTATTCAGGTTAATTGTCACACAGACCAACTATAATGGAACGCTGTTGAAATTAACAACTAAACAGAAAAATAGCATTAAAGAGCCAAACTATGTTTTTCCACCTTTATAAATTGGACACAGTGAAAATGTGCTGCTTGGAATTACCTGTCTTTTATATTAAACATTTAGTTCAACATTATATAAGCAGGATTGTAATCAAAGTGGAACATGAAGAATATGCAGATTTTAAATCCTTCAAGTATTAAGAAGATTTCTAAAATATAATTAAATTACTTACATGTATCAAGAATAGACAAAACCCTCTAAAGACAGTAAGCATTTTAAGTAAAAACAGTCCACAGTAGTTGTAGCTGTAAACCAGTCACTTGAAGTGACAGTGGAAAAAGAGCAGGGCCAAGATTAGATACAAGTGAATATGACTATTGAGCATCTGTTCTGCTTTGAGAGCTTCAGAGTGGTTTGCCCATCAGAGATTTTGTTATCTTTAACAGAGGAGCAGATGTGTTTATACTAAAGCTTTTTTTCCCTCAATTACGCTTTCGCTTTAACCTGTACACACTCTCTCCCTTTCTCAGTAGCTCTGCAGTATTTAAACTTTATCTGTTCTTTCTCAGTGTCTCATTCAGCTTTATCAGTTTCACTGAGCCAGGACCAGAAATCATATACAAAGCTTTGTTCACAATGTGCATTGTAGTCTAATATAGTTTAGATTTATTTTAGACTGAGCGATGTATGATGCTGTTTTACTGTTTGTTAGATATTGTAACTCTGTTAACATGATTGTATTTTGTAATGTTTATTCTGATAAGGGCAAGAGATGCTTGTTAATTTATGCTGATAAGGGCAAGAGATGCTTGTTAATTTATGAGCTCTTGTGTCAGACTGTTTGTGAGGGTAGAATAATGACCAGAGCCATCATCTGGGTGGGAAGCAACTGGCAACATTGTCTCAGGCATTACAAAGGGCTCACTTAACAGAAACATAATCTTTTTGGATGCTTTTGCATGTTATTTAACTTTTAAAACAAAAACGAGTCTTTCAGTGACCACAGGAGATGATTTATTTAAAAAAGCAACAGAGAATTTAATCACATGAATTTCTTAGGTTTCATTTATGGAAGACATAAGGCTTGTCATCTATCTGGATTCTTGTGGAGATTTTTTTTTTTAAAGGGGTCATATGATGTTGCTAAAAAGAACATTATTTTGTGTATTTGGTGTAATGAAATGTGTTTATGCGGTTTAAGGATAAAAAAACACATTATTTTCCACATACTGTACATTATTGTTTCTCCTCTATGCCCCGCCTTTCTGAAACGCGTCAATTTTTACTTAACTTTTATAAAGAATATCTCTTTGGATTTGAGACTTTAGTCTTTGCAACTTTACAGATCTTCTTTATGCACCAAGAGCTTTTAACACTCCATAGAGAAAGGAAAAATTGAAATCGCATCATATGACCCCTTTAAGAGTATGGTCTTGAAAAATGAGATTCTGACTCCTTCAGTGTTCCTAAGGGAATATTCATCTTTTAACAAACTCTCCTAGTTTTATCCGTTATGTCAATAGAATATCCATCCATCCATCCATCTGAAAAAAAAAAATACTCTCCTGGGTTGTTTTCTTTAAAGTAAAACAATGTTGATGAAACTATTAAAATGAGACAAAAAATATTTCAGATAATCTTCTTTCACATAATTAAGTAATTATGACATTATATGACATATAATTCATAATTACTATGTAGTTTCATAATGAGTAATTATGTTGAAGAAAAGGGAATGATGAAAAGCAGTCACTCCATCTTCAGCAAAAAAAGTGACAAAAGAACCACTTAGCCAAACACCTTGAACCAGAATAAAGCAATCACAATGTACAATATTCTTCA